GTTTATACAAATTTTATTTATGTTATAAATTAACTTACCAAATGCAAAAGCTTATTTGGAGTTGTGCACTTTTATTATAAATTTTATTTAACTGCAGATTTCCAAAGTCAGTTTAACAGCCCTATCAATAATATATCAATCAAAATAAAAATTTGAGATACACTGTTTTAAGCACTCTCAAGAATTTTTAAATTCGTACTATACTCGACACTGTTTTTAATATTTTTACAATTGATAATTAGTAATAATTTTTTATGTTATGCAAATAGGTTTTCATTATCATATGAATCAGTACTGTAAAATACAATATTTATTACAAATTGTTGTTGTGATTATCTATTTTTCTCGCCTAATCTCGCCTTTGAATATACGAAGTATTCGAAATCACTTCAGCGAATTATATTATTAGTTCTCGCATCAATAAATTAACCCTTTTTTACAAGCCCATCAAAAAGGGGCCATTAAGACACTTATCGTTCGATTCGCACTTATTTATTTGTTGCATTAATTGCACACTACTGGCGCGCCAACTTCCCGCGTGTCAGTTAATCTCAGCTGCTTTTGATAAACTTTTTTCCCAACTCTGTATTCTGCACCTCGACACGCGACACGAAACGCCCTACAAAAGGCACCACACATCAACCGACCGTCCGCAAAAACAACGCGCCACGACAAGACAATAAACACTTCGCCACTAAGTACACATCCAAGCCACTATATGTGTTTGTGTGTGTGGTTACGCTACGTCACTTCCACATGTGTCACATTCGCGCACGCTTGGTAGCTAATACATTGACGCATTCATATCCCAAATCGGAGTGCGTGTGCTGTCCACGAAGCTATTTGCAAAATGCTGGGAAGGAAAGTCCGTCTTAACCGCGCCGTACGCAAATCAAAACTGAAATTGCGGGAAATGCGTTTGGGGAAGCCAAGCAACAAACTGGCAACAGCACAATTATCAGCAACATTGAAAGGCAACAGCAGCAGCAGCAGCAGCCACAGAGCCGGCTATAGAAAAGTCACTTGGTGGCAAAGTCAGATGGAGTCAGACAGCCAAACAAAGTCGTGCAATGAAATGCTGCAAACGAGCTGAGCAAGGCGTCGAGCTGTGGAGCATGACTGAGGAGGTTAGCATGGGCCACAATATTAACGCGAATCAGTAACATTCTCTGATTACAGTATGTTGTATACAGAGATACTGTTAACATAACAGTTTCTACTTAATTTCATATTTTACAGCAGAAAAGTGCACTAGTGGCTAAGCGATTGCGCGGGCATAATACGCTCGCCCGACCTTAAGTGTCCATAACATAAAAGTAATAAATTTGTCCAATGGTATTATCAATATGTAGTTTTGAATTCTAAAATACTTACTAAAAATTAGCTTAGCCAAAAACGTCTACTAAGATGATAAGTATGCCTAAAACAAAGTATATGAAGTTTACCACGAATTTTTAACACCCGTTAGTATATACGCGAACTAGACCCTCAGTTTTTAAGATACCGATCAGAAATTATGAACACGTCCTTTTCTACCCAAGAAGATGATCATTGATCGTTACCCCCTATTTCGGACCACTATAGTATATAGCTGCCATACAAACTGATCGATCCAAATTAAGTTCTTGTGCAGAAAACTTTTTTATTTAATAAGATATCTTCCTAAATTCGACAAAGATTATTATCCAAGGCGACAGTACAATATCCCAACAAAGTGTTCAGATCGAATTACTGTAATATATAGCTGCCATACAAACTGAACGATCGAAATCAAAATAGCGATCTTTTCACACCCTTTTGTGCTATAATAAATGCACCTGTGAAGTGTTACGTGCAGCCGGAGTCAACGTTTTTGCTTGGTTTTTTACATAGCAAAAACATTTGATATTGAAATATCCCACGCATTACTTAAAAATACTAAATGTTGCTATTATTGCATCTTTCTTAATAGACGAGTTTTTTATTTTTATTTTTTGCGCTACTGTAAATTTTGGTAACTTTACCAACCCTCATTTTACAGCCACCACTGTAGGCATACTCAACTAACATGCTATAATTCTGCAATATCGTATTAACATTCTCTGATTCTGTTAAAACATAATCTGTTACAATTAACATCGGCTGCCGACAGCATAGAAACAGAGAATGTTAATCTGGTTCGATTTTCTGATACTACACGCTGTTGACGCTGAATGCTTGGGCATAATCGTTTTCATGCTTCACACTTGATTGGCGCATATTTTTGGCATTTACAATAAAATAGAAATTTGGAAAATTTTGGTAAATTGAAAAGATGCTTTGTTTTACGGATTCAATGAATTCTATTCTATTCTGAACGTCATTATAATTGTATGTAAAGTGGGAGCGCTGGCTGTGACTTTCCACTTTCCCCATCCCGGTTTTTGTTCAAAATTTCTTTTCAATGTTATTGGTAAATGTTGCGTGTTGCCACACAATTTATATTTATTGTCTGCATGCCACCCCTCATGGAGTTTAGTTGCACCCGTCGACATTTACACGCACTAATGCGCTCACTCTTCGCCTTTTTGGGTCAAATGTGTTGTTGTTGTAAAGTGTTGATATGACACTTGATTTGCATTTTCCAACTCATAAGCACGGAAATTATTCAAAAATAGAATACACAGGAAATTGCACTTTTATGCGCAAATACAATGCCGGGAATTACTTTGTAAAGAATTCAATTTATTCCACACAAATAGCAAAACAATTTTTTCAATACTTTTTAAACTTTCATTACAATTGTTATTGCTGTTTTCTTTTACATTTGACGCCGGGTGATAAGGAAGTCTGCTGCACTCTAGAGATTGCGGTTAGTAAGTAGGTGGTCTGGAAAATGGGTGGTGGCTGGCAAGTTTGAGTGTTTGCACAGAGTTTTCTTCGACTTCGCGTAAAGTTATTTAGTAAATACGCAGACTAGTATCTGCTGAAATAAAAATAACATAATGCGCGTGTTTATGGTGATTTATTAATTTATTATATGTGTAAGGGCTTTATTGATATTTTCTGCTTGCTTTTACAAATTTATTATTACTTTCAAGGTTCACTTCAGCAATCGCTAAATATTTATCGCTCTTGAAATCTTGTTGTGTTTTTGGATCTTTCCATCCTAAATGTATGCAATAAACTTATAAAAATCATTACGCTTTGCGCCAATCTTATGAAATACGATTGTAAAACCCGTGCAGAGCTCGTATCCGCAAATTATTCAAAGATTTTAGGTAATTTTTGTCAGTTATTTAATTTTTATTCAAAAGTGAATGCAATTCATAAATGGTTCTTCCAAGCGATTATATTAGAAGCAGATCTAGATTGAGTACTTTTTGTTCTTAAGGAAATGTGGGCTACAAAGTGATTCCTCGAGGAGTTAATAACAACACTACCGTTCATCAAAAAGACTCGAATTCGGCTCGTATTGTTTATGCTTTCTATGATACCATCTGATCAAGTTTGGCCACAACATTTTCACATATTTTAATACAAATCTTTTTTAGCGCCTTCAAAATTTGAAACAATTTTTCAATGCTAAGCCAATTTTCTACACACTTCTTATAAGCCTCGGCTGGGATGTGTTTCAGTGCCTTCTGCGAATTTTACCTCATTTTTGGAGTGATATGCGCTAGATTGTTGAACAGTTTGGACGTCATATACATAAAGCTACGTCTCGTCTTTTGCGACCTCTACTCGACGTCGTCTTTGCAAAATATTCAGATATTTTGGTAGGAGTCTAGTGTCAATACCCGCTTCATACCTAAAACATTAACTAAAATGTGTTTGAATCGATCCAAAAAAGATGTTGAGATCTTTTGCTATCTTTCTGATGCCACCACGATGATTTTTAAACAGTGTTTCTTTAACTTTTTCGATATATTTGCCATTCACAGTGGTAGATGGACGTCTCGCATGAGGCGAGTTATCGATGACTTCACGACCTTCACTAAATACTTCGGGTCACGAAATCACTTCTGCAACGTGTTCAGCGATTCCGTAGCCACGATTTTATTACAACACACAAAATTTCAAGCAAATGTTAAATTTTTTTTTTCAAGGTGAAAATCGCCCGAAAAATCTTTCGCGTCGTAAACAAACAGCCGCCAAACACACAAAAATTGACATATGGAGATCATAATTTACACGAAAATAAAAAAAAAGTTTTATCAGTTAAAAAAAATATTTTTCGATTCGGTTTGCGCGCACAGTTCATTGGACCAGTCCGAATCAAATTTGATCAGATGGTATAACAACATATAAAAATTTAGTTACATCTAATATATTGTACATGTTTCTTACTTTGTGGTCTTTTTGGTCTGAACATTTTACTTTTTTCACTCTCGTCCTTTTAAAAAACGCATTTTTCGCTTAATTTTTTTTTTTTGTTTGTAATCTCAATAAAATGATTAAGTACATATCACAATCTAAACAGAGTGGACCACAGTGTGTTGGTAATAAAGATCAATTTGAAAGGTCAGAGATAATAGAAACCGTTTTTTTTTAATTATATATGAAATTTTATAATGTGCAGTAATTGAAAAAATATATTGGATAAAAAATTAACTACATATGATTGATACTTTTTTATAATCGTAGAAAAGTTGAATATTCAGTCGACGCTTTTGTAGCCAATTTGACTTGCTACACCCTCGCAGCCAAGTGAAGACACGCGTGAACAATTAAATAATTGCTCAGACAGCTCGTAAGACTTGCGTTGCAGTTTTCATTGCTCTTTTCTTTGCGACAGCAAAAAATAAATAAATTATCAATAATTGCACGCAACTAATTGCATATTAATTTCAAAAGCGAAAATCAATTAATAGAAATACTATTTGCACTAACAACGCAACGGCGGCACCTAACCTCGACGCTGAATATATTTTACGCCGCAATTTGGCGCGCCAATTTGGCAAAGTACTTGCCACACTTTCGGACCACCGCGAAGGCGGTCGCAAATTGTTTCGTCGCTGGAATAGAAAGTGAAAGAAGACTTAAAATTTATTTATTTTTTTATTATTTATACAGTTATTTGAATTATTACAAATAAACGCGTAAAAATGCAATAAATATGTTTGGTATGACTCTATGGAGGTTAGTAAATGCATACATATATATGCAGATATGCTCTTGTACTTGTACATGTGCCTATATGGCAGGTTAGTACTCATACACTAAGTTTATTAAACTCACTTGACATAAAAGTATTTGAAATTTTTTTAAATAAGGAATATCGAAACACAGAGTACTAAAAATGCTTTTCATTCATTTAGTTAACGTTTTTAAATTAATATTTCAAATATGTTACAGATATATGTATTTCGTACAATTACAGTTATTAAACTCTTATATGTTGTGCTTTCGCAGACGCATACTGCAATCACGTGCCTTAAGCGCCTTCGCTCATTTCTTCTATTTTCAACTTTTCGTGCATCTTACCAGCTAAACTGACTACATTAAATGCTAAGCTAATGTTATGATAGTTATTGTTATTGTCGTTGAAGCAAATAATTTAAATACAATTAAATGCGCACTGCCTCAGCTCCATTCTGAAGCTGCTGGAGCGTAACTTTCTCGGCTTTACTCGTCGCTGCCACATATTTCCTCTACTTGCCATTGCTAAACGCTGCTAAGCATATCCGCTACATGTGGCACAGCAGTAGGTTTTGTAGTAGTGCAATTTGCACAATCGTTGTCGATTTATTCGCTGACAATTACTCACATCATCTTTGCAATTGACAGGTGGATCAACTGGCTTCAAAATATCACGCTCCACATCGAAGAGTGTGTTGAGTTCTGTGAGAAGGAAGAAGAATATATGCGGTGTAATTGAAAAAAAAGTAAAAACTCTAATTAGTATGTCTAGCCAGTACATTAATTATAGTCACATATTGAAATATCCAAAGTGAAACTAACTGGAAAAGATTTTTATAATAATAAATATATTTTTTGCATATTTAAAGGGTGCATATAACTAGAAACTTTTCCCCTTAACTATTTGATCTAAAGTAAGTTGACTTATGAGATATCGAGCCCCAAACATCGGTAAATTATTAATAAGTCCCAAAATAACTCGCTATGTTTAGGCTCTTTCAGATTTTTTTCGATATTTTGCCTTGACTTTCTTCTGCATTTATAGTAGATCGAATAATTGATGAATTGAGGACTTACACAGCAGGACCCGGTCCAATTTATTCAATAACTATTTTATTACAAAGCTAAATCACGTTCTTCAAGATGTTATGAGTTTACCTGTTTCACCTCTCTATGATCTTTTTTTTACCCAAACCTATCACTTTAATATTTTGTTTTCCTACCTTCACACTTCTGCACATTACATGTTCCATAGACCGGCTCTCGTTCCAAATATTTACAATTGCTCGATTCTACCATCGCCTTTTGTTTCCAATCAAATTCCAGACATTTGGCATAACGCCGTTGAACGCCTTCACCACAAGAGCGGGAACACTATCAAACACAAAAAAGTTACAATTATTGTATTAAAAATTAACACTTACAGATTACAAATATCGTTTAGCAGCTGTCAACATTGTGCTGCGCTGTTTTTTATATAAACCAAAGACTCACCTCCGACCACTCGGAGTAATGCCACTTGGACCCGCAAAACGTCACCTCTTTGTGTGTGCAATTCATAACAGCGCGCGGTCGCAACAACAAATCGCATTCCGACTCATCCACCGCCACACCATCGCGCAGACAAAGCACAGCGCGCTTACGTTGTAAATTAAAGCAATCGCCGGTACAATTACTCCAATCGGAAGTGAACCATATACCATACTGACACGCCTCAGCCTGTTGACTACCACTACAAATACGCTTCTGCTCTGGCGTGAAGCGTAGATCACAAAGATCCGTATAGGGTGGCGTGCGATCACAGTAGATCGAGCGATGCTCAAAACCTGCGCCGCAATCAGTCGAACACTCTTGATTCCAGCCCGACATCAACCACACACCCGCTTTGTCTACACGATCGTCCCGCAGATGCCGGCGCAATGGCGTGGTTGAGTTGTAAATGCTGCGCACCAAAGTGGGCGCTATAAGCAGCCGCGAGAAGACGCGTGGTGTCTTGTCCGGTCCACGTGCGTAGATTTTACGTCGATTTAACTTTGGGCAATTGCATGTCTCATTTAACTGGGGCAGTTTCTGTTGCTCACACAAATCTTCGGATACCTCTTCCGCCTTGCCGTTATTTTGCTCCTGTACGCAATACACGTAGCGTGAACGTACACCCTCGACCTCACCGTCGGCGCATTTACATTCCCCATATTCACCAGCGCGCCAATAAGCTGGACACAATCCACGATTACAACGATAGATGTCCTCACTGAAGACTGGCTTCTCAACAAAGGCACAGCGCTTAGGTGAATAATAACGCGTCGGCAAATCGCGTATACAACGAAAAATGGGTGGTTGTATACCTGGTCCACAGGAGCGATTACATTCACCAAAGCCGAGTAATTTCCACGAGAACTTGCGGCGTTTGCGTTCGCGTGCGCGTGCGATCTGTGCCGAAACGGAGCCATCGATGTTGTTCTCATCTAACTCGTCCAGTGGCTGACCCACCTCGTTCCACTGTGACTGCAGCTCCTCATCCTCAGTTATGGAAGCAGACGGTACGGGAAGAGTGTAGTCATATTTGATGCCTGAATTGTGACCGCGCACAAAGAGCTAGGTGGGGCAAATATAATAGTTATTTTAACAGTTTGTTAATCAAGGTTAAGACTTACCAAAAGCACAACGGGTTTACTTATTGGTCCCTTAGAAGTGATTATGCTCAGTTCGCGATTGTAGTCATAGCTGTCGTCATTATACTCAAATATACCACTCTCTGAGGCGCGATTGTTACCGTTAATCAGAAACATATCATCGATAGTTTTCAGTGCTAAAAAAATAAAAATATTATAATAAGTATGACTTTAAATTATTTAGATAATTGCATAATATTTATAAGTTAGAAGTAATCTCATTTTGGTTTTACCCAGTAAATTATCACTTCGTGCCAGCTGTTTGACCGTTAAGTTCATCGCCCCCGCTGGAATTGTGTGCACATAATTGTAGCCATAACTCAACTTGGCTTTACTGAACACCTCGGAGACCATCTCACATAACACTGAACCACATTTCGTTTGGGCGTCGCTGGTGGTGGCTGGCCGTATGGCACCACTCTCATGAACCGCCTATAAAAACAATTGGGAGCATTTCAGACACACAGGGATTTCGGAAGTATTTACACATTAAATTTAAAGTGTAAAGAGTTCATTAGGCTTCGAATTAAAATAAATTGATATAATGTATATGAACTTACCAAATTCAATACTAATACCACCGTCCAGAATTTCCACATTTTGCAGTTAAATAATTAATATATCATATTACGTTGCTTCGATTTCAACACTTTTTCCTTATTATGTCTTTGATATAATTTTCCCTCAAAACTGTTTGTCTTTACGCTTATTCTTGCGAATACGATCTACATAAAATTATAAAATTTTCCATACTCATGTTATATTATATTTGGCAGCGATGGCCTTCAACAAAATTTGTGTTTTTAGAGATCATATGTGTGGCAAAAGATTTAGTATAACCTCTTGTAGATAAGGATATTTATGAGTTGAAAACAAACAACTTGCCGGCTTGTTTGGTCGGCTTATGAAAGAATCATTGCAATTAATCGGATTTCCCTGTTATTACTTGGTCACAGATGATCGCGAAGTACCCTAACTTATATATAATACTCGTATACAATAACAACAACCTAAGATTAATGTCCCTAGGCTGGAAATTAAAAATATAGATGAAATTAATTACAAAAACAATGACTTTGATTTGCTACGCATGAAAACGGATTTGGTAAAAATCTTTCCCATCTTTGATGTTTTCAAATCAGTGAGTGTCGTAAGACCGCCATAAAATTTTCTTGGTATAAAATACTAAAAAACTTTCATTTCTTTTCAATTAAGATTTCAAAAAGCATTGGAAAATAAATTCTAATTTTTTCGTGTTAAGCAATATCTATATATGTATATAGACAATATATTATAAATAGATACCCATTTAGTGCAAATAACACAAAGTTCAATTAACTTATCGAAATTGACCGAAATAAAATAATTATTTTTTCATGTTGAAACATTGGCCTACGAAATGCGATTATTTATACGCGTATGTAGTAAGTGAGAACATGGCATGAGTATGGCATATGGTGGCAATTAATTACGCTAACCAATCTATTGAAAATGAATTAACTATTCGCAAAAAACAATGCAGGAATTCACTTAATCCACCTAACACCCAAACACAGTTGGCAACGAGCAGTGGTAGACGCCTTCGCCACCGCACACACCGCACTCACTGCCAACAGTCAACACTCCAATATGCCTACTTCCCCCAATTTCTTTGCCAAGTCCATATAGGCCGGAGTGGACCACACACATCCAAGCGTCGAAGCGGTAACTAACTGAAATGGTCTGCGGCGCGGTATGCTTTTAAGCATTTCATCGAACACATTCGCATATATGAATATGTATTTCAATTGCTTACAGCTATGCAAAAAATAAAAAAAAAACAGAAACAATAAAAAATGTTGACTTCGATTGCACCGAAGCTATAATACCCTTCACAATTACACAAGATTCCTTAAAAGAACTTTGTATGGCAATTTCGTAAATTTTCGATAACTTGTCAAATGAAAAAACTTGCCATACAAGTACTTTAATCCGATCGTGCAGTTTGTATGGCAGCTATATGCTATAGTGGTCCGATATGGGCGGTTCCGACAAATGAGCAGCTTCTTGATGAGAAAAGGACGAGTGTAAAATTTCAGAGCGATTTCTTAAAAACTAACGGACTAGTTCGCCTATATACAGACAGACGGACATAGCTAAATGGACTCAGCTCGTCACGCTAATAATTTTTATAGATATATACTTTATACAAGTAGTGTCTCTTACGTTTCCTTTTGGGTGTTACAAACATCGTGGTAAACTTAATATACCCTGTACAGGGCATAAATAACGAAACACGGTAACTATGCTTTGGCCTATAGACGGTGGCGTTGCTTTGCTGAGCGCCAATGCTTTGCCAAATCGCATAAATCTTAATTAAACAATTCCCGCTTTTTAGCGCCGGTTGGCATAGCAAGGCGCACTCACACACCTACAGACAAATTCTTATAGGTATTGAAAGCGTGCGCCGCCAACGCCAAGCGCTGCTGTCACGTCACAAGCAGCAGGCAATTTATGAATTGCTACACATCCAGCGAAAAATCATTGTGCATCGAGCTTTCGACTTTTATAGGCAACGCATATACAGTTATTTACGTTAACATTTCAATTAAGCGTTACTTTATTCAATTTCGGTTTGGTAGCAATTCCGTGAGGTAAATTTATATATACGGCAACATATTTGCTTAGGTCGCAGTAAGTCGGAACAGAGAAATTCGAAAATAAAATAAAAAAATTTGTTTATGGAAATATCTACTTCCTATATTTGGCCATTTCCACAGCTCAATGGGTCACTTGAGCAGAAGTGATTTACTTATTTCTAATCTGAAGCACGAAGTGCTGAAATATTATTCAATTTGTAGGCAATAAAAAACGTATTAATACCCGCCGGCCCAAAACATACATACATACTTCCATACAATACTTGACACTCGTCGGGTTGTGGCAATAGATATGCACTTGACTTCAAACAAATCACCAACAACCACTTGTGACCTCATTATAGGGCACTCCATAGCACTTGTTGCAAAGTGCGTCTATCGGCCAATCGGCCTGACCCAATTATCACTTGTTAATTAGCCCAGAAAATAGTTCAGCATTGAGGCTCACGCAGATCACTGATGTTTGGAAATTTCTTACTCTTCTTCTTATTTGCTCAATATTTGCTTCAAAGAGCAGTTCAATACAGTTTTGAGTTTTGACGCTGAATATCGTTATTTTTGCTCGTAAATTGTATTATGTCAAAGTGCAAGTGAACTTACAGCTAAGATTGCACTGGGGCAACAGGCACACATATACACTTACATATGTTTATTGGGTTTATTGTTGACAGCTGTCTTGCAACATCAGCCATATATACATATATTCTCATACTTAATGATTCTAAGAGGGTATTAAAAACACATTAGCACAGAAAATCAAAAGATTCGCTGTTGAAATTTTTGTACATTTTAAGTTAAGTAATTTTCGAAAAATGTTCAGTAGAGATTTTAATGGATATTGAAGAGTAATTTACCATCTGATCAAATTTGACCCGGACTAGCCCATATAAATTAGTCCACATCTTAGATTGGTACAACCTTCTTATGTTCTTGTGAAGTTTGATCTCCATATGTCAATTGGTGTATGTTTAACAGCTTTTGGTTTGCGCTGTGAAAAGTTGGTCCTGCAATTTTTACCATGAAAAAAATGTATCAAAGAGTTTGTTTGACATTTCGTGTTCCCAGTGGAATCATCACTAAGCAATCAATGAATAGGTTTCAGAAGTGTTTTGGGGAGTCTACTTTGATTTAGTTTTGTTTTTTTTGGCAGTCTGAGTCAAGTTTGATCAGATGATACATACTAAAATATCGAGAAAAATATTTCGAATTTCCTTTTTTTACATTTTAAAATTTATTACTTTGAAAAATTGTTCAATTTTAAAAGGCAAATTAATATGGAATGAATGTGTTGAGTCACTTTCCAAATTTACAAATTTTTCTCACTCATATCAAGCCTATACCATGTTAGAAGGATATTTCTTGCTTACACCACATTGTCATACAAATACTAAATGTAACATAATATACTGTTTTACTGGAAATATTTTCTTAGTCCTAAACTTACAAGGGGGCGAAGAGAAAGCGATTTCTACAGGAAAAGGAGAAAATTACGAGGAAGCAAAATAAACGAAAAACTGGTTTTTACTTTGTTTTTCCTTCAACTTCAATTTCCAACTGAAACTTCCTATAGAACTCTAAAACAGAATTGTATGCACTATTTTTCAGAACCTTTGGCTCTAGTCCCTAATATTATTTGCTATAGCTTTGTATAATCTCGTATACTTTAAGGGAAATAATAAGGTTGCAAGAAACACTGTTTGCACAATCGATCATTACGCACTGGAGCAAGAAGTCAACACTTTCCACTTTTCCACTAGTTCTAAAACAGATTCAATCCACCACGTTTGAAAAACAATTAAGTTCACCAATAAATTTTATTAGTACATCTTAGTACATCCATCAAAGAGCGCATAAATTTCCAAGAAAAGCGTGCGCTTACACATTTCACGCTTAATTACGAACAATTAAGACACAAATTAATAGATTAAATGGCGAATAAAAAAGTTCTCACATCATAAAAACCAATTCGCCAATAAATTTCGACGCCCACATAGTTAATTGAAGAAAACCGGGAAAAAAAATCCAAAGAAAAATTTTGTAAAAAAAAGTGTGCTACAAAATATTTAAGAGGTCATTAAATGATTAGTTGTAAATATGCATTATCATCGCCTAGAGTAACAACAACAATATCATAATTAGTGCAGCGCGCAGAGGAAAAACAAGAAGAATTTTCAAAAGATGAAGACATCAAAAGCTTTACAGCTGCTGTACAACAACAAGCATGTCACGACGCTGCTGTCAGCAATTGTAATAATGTCATGATCATCAATGACATTTTTTTTCTAATGATTATGTGCGCTTGTGCTTTCATATTTGCTATTGAAATTGTAAATGACTTCGGGTCCCAGTGAGCAAAGAAATCCGAAATAGACTCTAAAAATAAATTAATTAAGAAAAAAAATTGTAATGTGAAACACACTCAGTGCAGCAATAAAAAAAATTTGCAAAAAATTTAATTGGCTTAAAAAACTTAGCAATTTGATATTTTTAATTCCTTTATTAATAATTTTTAATTGTTTAAATATTCTGACCCATATAAGCGTTCGCTTAGTAATGAAAATTTTGCACAAAAAAATGTTTATTTTTAAAAATATTTTTTTTTTCAAATATTTAATTTAACGCATATTTTCCTAGCGCGCTGTCATTCAAAGTGAATTATGGCAGAAATATATTTTGTCATAAATTGGTAGTATCACAAATATTGGGCGTTAAAAATATTTTTGTTGAACGCCACGACACACATAGGTATACATATACATATGTATGTATATATGTACCAACGAGAGTTCATAA